TTAAGCTGATCAGTACTAATAAGTCCCTTCTTTACTGTACAAGGGATTTAAGTCTTCGAGGAGTTAAACTTTTCAGCATCAATTCCATGGGCGTGTTTGCACTCAATTATAGGGCATGCGCATGCGATGAAACATGTGCACAAAAAGAAAGGAATCAAACCCGAACCGGCCGTAGTGTGCAACAGTCAGAAACGGTTCCAAATTTAATTACAAGCTTGCGAAATCCATCCAACCATTCATACACTTGTTCGTAATAACCCGTTATCCAACGTTATCTTCAACCAGATGAATACATCGTAAAAACCGCATTAACAAACAGTTTCACTGCGGAGGAATTCTCCTTAACCTAATCCGCCGTCTCGCCAGGGAAGATCGCAGCACATTCGCGTAGCGTGACCGGCAATTTGCCGTGTGTCAACCAGCGTTGTAGAATTTTCCCCTATTCCATGCCTTCTTCACATTCTCTTTTGCTCCTGAATGTTCCTAACTGGAATTTGGCAAAATGTCAGGCTCCAGTACCGCGATGACACACTTTTCTCGGCGGCTCCGCAATCTCATGCTTCAGTAGAGGACCGCTCCGAACTGAAAAAAAAACTCTGCTGCAAACTGGCGCGGCTGCGCACCTCAGGCTCCAGTAGCGGACCACTGGAATTGAAAAACTCATCTTCAAGCCTGCAGAGAAATGCGCTGAATGTGCTTAATGACAGCTTTCGCGCCCCAACCGAGAAGGGCTGCGGCGCAGCCGCGCGCGCGAAAATGTTCCTCATACACGAGCCCAATTACCTGCCCTCTAATTCTGTGTACATCGCTCTCGGCGGGAGAGCTCACGACGTCCATCGTGCGCGCTAATGGTTAGTTGAGCATGTTGGTTGAAATTTTCTCTTCTTTTGATGTCTTGTTATGTTGTCTTCTGTGTATTCAAGTGAAATCTTAAGTCATTTTAGAGCGAGTAAAATCGAGGTTTGCAGAGCTGAGCTTTCTTTGTTGCGCTCCTACAAGGACGCCCAAGTGTGATGGATTATAAAAGT